CCGCAACCGTTTTATATATGCACAGCGACATTCTAAATCTCTAGGTCCAGTTGCTGCTGGACATTCATCACGAGTGGGCATTGTTGAATTGATCGACGCCAACCCAAAAGACGCAGATAACCAGAATAAAAAGGAAACACCATCCATCGTGAAAACCTCAAGCGAGCAAGCAAAAGTGCTTGTGAACCCTACGATAGTAAGTGGCACTAGGGCATCTGCGGTCAGCGAGTCTCTTGTTTTACCACATACTTCTCTACCAGCACCAGCGGCCTCGACTGTAGTGTCCTCGACTGTGATCGACATCAAATACCCCCAGCCTCCAAAAGTAATGGAGGGGGCGCATGTTTTTACATGTCCTTGTTGTTGTCAAACCCTCCCGGTAGCTTTATCGGAAGGGATCAGGTGGAAGTAAGTCATAAAACCTGAAATAGGGTTTCGCAGGGTGCTAAACAAGACAGGAAACACATCGCTGACGATCTTATGCCGTATACTTGCATATTGCCCGGGTGTGCTCACCCCGAGGTTCTCTACGCCACGAAGAAAGAATGGCGACATCATCTCATCAATGAACATTATGGCTTTGAGTATTGGGTCTGCTTTTCCTGCGGGGGAGCTACACAATTTCGAAGCCAACAAGATTTCATAACCCACACGACAACGGAACATAGTCCGTCTATACCGTCCAGCGAAATCCCACTTTTAGCAGATATCTGCAAACGCTCGGCGCCTGTAGAAATCACCTCCTGTCCACTGTGCAAATGGCCGGAAGATGAAGAAGAAGTAGATAAAAATATGCTCCTCGATCACATTGCCAAAGACCTGCACGCCTTCTCACTACGATCATTACCTTGGAATGACGACAATGGACAAGAGACTGAAGATCGAATAAGACACAGCCGTGAAATGGTCTATTCGTGGCTCGGCAACGGATTGTCGGAGAATCCTACCATGATTTTACCTCCCCTCGATGAAAAGGTGTACGATTCCAATCACTTTCAGCAGAATCCTTATTTTGCAGATAGTTTGGCATCTTCAAGCTCTAGCAGACTTGAATCAGCCGCTTCGTGGGAAGATGAACTGAAGAAGTGGAAGCAGAAAGAGGGGTCCATTAGTTTCGGAAGTCACCAGAGTAAAGCAAGAGGCCATAGTGCGGCAGAGATCATGAGCTTCTTGGGATATTTCGAACAAAGGTCCGAGAATCTCAACAACAGTGACAGGGATATCAGCGACGAAGAGTCTGCAAATATGCGGGATATTTATCAACAATCCAAGCTTTTCTCTGCTGCAAGGGAGGGGAACAGTGATGTCATCAACACTCCTTGAAGGTGGCGTTGATGTTGGTATGGCGGGTGAAGATGGCATAACGCCTCTCTTTTTGGCTATCTATGAAGAGCATGAGGGAGTCGTCAGCATATTGCTCGCCTACGGTGCTCATCCCAGGGCAAAGGATGGCTGGACAGCACTGTTGTTGTTAGCTATACGTAGATGGAATGCGCAGATTGTTCAACTACTGATCCAATCCGGTGCTAATATTGAGAAAAAACAAACCAAGATGGCTGGACACCGCTGTTGCTGGCTGTTTATCACAGGCATATAGCTGTCGTTAAAGTTCTGGTCAGCCTCGGTGCTGACATCGAGGCAAAGACTACGGGAAATGGCTGGACACCACTTTTATGGGCCATCTACCAGGGCCATGATAGTATTGTTAAGTTATTGATCAGGCGTGGTGCTTATATCGAGACAAAAAGCACCCAAGATAGCTGGACACCGCTCTTATTGGCTGTTGATAGAGGGAATAAGGTTATTGTTAAACTGCTGACTGGGTATATAGATGAAAGCCAAGATGCCTAGACACCGCTTTTATGTGCCGCCTATAAAAGAGATCAGGCTATTGCCAAACGGTTGTTGAATCGCATTCTTTCCATTGAGGTACCTGGTTCGGGTGCTTTACGTGAGCCATATGAGGATGTCTGGCAAGCGTATCAGGGACTTCGGAGGCTAAAGCTTGAACAAGGGTTGCAATCTATTTTTAAGACCCTAGTGAAGCATTATATCTAGTATAGTACTGTGAATCTTGCACTTAAACTCCATATCACATATTATTAATCACCTCTTTATTATCATCGATCAAGTAAATTTGCCACCAGAGTTAATGTTTTCCTTGAGCAGCGAGATACTTGGGTTACCAGAATTTCTTTTATTGTACCACCGATGTCAAATCTCCGCTCTAGAAGAAGTGCCTAGTTGTTAAGTATGAGGAGAATCCATAGATGCCATAGGGTCGGACAATCTAATGTGCAGTTTCTGAGCGAGTGTCAGAAACTCGGGGGTATAGAAAGTAAAGTGGAGGAATCTGAAGGCTGCAGTGTGACTGGTGGCTCGCTGGAGAGTTACTGTAAACTAGCAGTTAGGGCTCAATGCAAGACTGTATTAATTTCTGACCTTCCTCTAAGAATTGATCGCTCCTTGGTATGTTTATACAGCTAATACCTCACTCAACAAGTCACATGACCTAGGGGGCCGAAGGTTCTCTGATAGCGAGGGTTTCGGCGACTTCTAAAAAAGGAAGCAAGTGACTCTATTTACCTAGGTAGCGTCGATAGACTTGTAAAAGCATCGGTTATGGATAAAGACTTTGATGACACCGCATGGCCTGAGCTCCCCTGTGTCTGCTCATGTGGTCGTTTGTGCCTGAACGATGCTGTCACTCAGCATACAGGAGAACGATACGCGGAATAATAGACAAAAGCAGCATTGACCATGGATAGAATAGTGTGGCCCAGAAAGTTCAGATCCTGGCCGAATATCCGGTGTTATTCAGTTTTTTCCCACTTCGAATTGCTTCTTTCGCATGGTACGTACAGTTGCCAAAAGGGGCTCTTCTTCGGACCATCCAAGACTTACGCCATCGAATTTAGGACTAATGATCACCATATGGGTGCATACATGATCTTTCATTTGCATTCATCTCATCACCATGTGCCAGATTTTCGAAACCCTCTTATTGAGGAGTGCATGGATTTGCAATCAACGCGGGGTTCAAGGTCTGGACCAAGAGATCGTCACTCACCTGGTGTCGTCAAGACTTCAACTACAAACATATCATCCATCATCCGCCGCTCCAAACCATAAGTATTCTAATACTCAGTCGATTGCCACCTCAGCTCAACGGCTAAGGAGCTGCGTAGAACTTCTAACGCCATCACTACCTTGTTTAATGACGCTGATGTAGAACTGTACCCTGGCGTGGATGTCCTTTGTCTTATAGATGTGGTGTTGCACAGGGTCAAGGACAGTAATCCATGCCACACCAAATTAGATCATCCACACAAGTACTTACGTTAATAGGCTGCACAAGAAGCGCTATGAGAACGGGTGCGGCATTTCTGATCCTACAAAGGGGCAAGGTTTCAAATTACCTAGAAGAGGTTGAAGGACCTCATTCGACAGTCTACCCAGAATCTACATGAGGACTCATCGGGTCTTTAGCTCACTACAAATATAATCTTTACAAAGCGACGACGATCACCGTGATGTCTAATTCTCCCTCAAGACTAAACTCCTACACCCAACAAAGGTCTTAAAGCAGGTCAAGTCTGAGGCAGTCCTCAAGAAGATCAATGATGCCATTCAGAACCGACCACCAGAGTGCTCCCATCACCCACGAGATGGTTCTCCTTCACGATGAAACCGCCCGATCCTTTGGATATCCAAATTATCTTACCTACAAGACAGCCGAAAAGATGGCCCAGGCCCCTGAGACGGTCACCAATTTTCTCCACAAGCTCCGACAAGAGCTCACCCCAAGCGCCGAAAGAAACACTCATCATCTTCTCGTTCTCAAGATTGAAGATCACAAAACCCACAAACACAGCACCGATAATGTCAAGACCTTTCTCCGGGACGATGGTTATTACAGCCACATCCTCGACAAGAAGCAGTCTGCGCACAGCACCCTGTTTCGAATACCTCGAATTATACCACAAGCTGGCCAAGCTGCTCAATTTATCTAGGCACATATTCCAAGCGCGATTCGAGTGCATCACGCCAGAGAAGCAGTACAGGCTGGGAGGCGAAAAACCGATAGTACGGCATGATGACGTCCAGACTCTTGGCGTACGGGACACAAGCAAATCAGACACCTTCATTAGTTATGCGTACTTTGAGCTTTCTACACAGCCCAATGGGCTTTGTAGAAGCGCCTAGCGTCATGTTTGAGCGGTTCATTTGTCAAGCGAGGCAGAGCAAGAACATATCCTATCACTACTCTGATCTTTCACCAGAGGTCAAAGAGGCCTAGCTCGAGAGTCTAAGTGATGAGAGAAAAAGGGTGGAACAGCCGCCGTTACAGCTTAGCGACGAAGGCATCGCCCATCTCACACGGCAGGACCCAAATAACTTTGTCGTCCGGGAACTACATAACATGGTTCTGTCGCTGTTTGACATTAAAGTTCACAGTGCAGCGACACACGAGGAGCGACAACAGGCTAATCTCGCCGAGATGTTCAACAAGTTACGAACCGAAATAACAGCATTTCAGGCAGGCGAAGCTCCAGGCAACGGGTGGGGTTGGAGTCACAGAAAGCCAGTATTTCATATGATTGTAGGTCAATACGCAACGGGATATTATACCAACGTTCTGTAAGTCGCCCGCTCCCTTTTCAATGAGATGTGCATTCTGCGGGAGCTGCTATTACAACAATAATGGGAAATTCTATGCGACGGACATGTTCGAAAAAGAATTTCAGGCAGACACAACCAATAAGGAGGCCAAAAGAAGTTTCCATGACATGTTTCTCAAACCAAGAGACAGCCAGCATGAGATGAAGACCTTGACTGAGTGGGTATCCGAGTCGTGAGCCCAGTGCTTCACCATATTTACAAGTGGCTTGGTGTGTAAGAGAATGGAAGAAAAAGAAAATAAGACAAGGAAACCTTCCAAGAAAACGTTTATACATAAAATTTAAGCTCATCATTTCGTTTCAAGAAGAAAAAAGATGTGCCGTAGCGAGGACTCGAACCTCGGTTTGCAGTGCTTCAAACGCTCGTGGTGGGCCACAAACTGCTGTCCTAACCCCTAGACGACTACGGCTCTGAACTTGATGTCTGAGACAACGATCATTAGGCCTTCATGTTCCTCACGCCACAACCCATGGAAACGAAACGCCTTGCCTTTACGCCTCCATTTTGTCCGCCCATTTTATTTTAACCTTTGACCCGACGACCTTGGATATCTCCAACTGATTGCTTACCTATATATTCTAATCATGTGCCTAATGCAGAAGCAAATGCTTCATGAAGTCGCGGAATTGGTTTGTCGACAATTTTCTTGAAACTTTTTTTAGCCATAGCCATTAAAGTTGAATTGAAAAAGTATTAAATTGAATATATCGAATTCGGAAAGTGTTCCATCAAAGTATGCCCTTGTCAACAGCCCTTGAGCTTGTAGGTTCCAAGCTGGTTATTTGCCAAACTCCCCCCTTCCCGCGCCCATCCTCCTCATACGTTACGCAGCAGCGAATGTACGTACTTGAAGCGGTCTCTCATAAAAGGTTAGGAGATCTATATTTCTTGAGATTGTCAAACTGCTCGGTTTTTCCATGTCTGTTCTATTTACCGTAAACCAATTTACAATGTTTATTGAGCTACAATGAATGGTAGCAGAAAGGGGTGATACCAAATTACCGTCCCTACTACAGATCAGCCGATCTACATCCACACCTTGCTCAATCTTCTACAAATACTCAACCGACGCGCCACGCCAGATGTACATGACGGAGAAGCCATCGAGGGAGCCATACGCTGCACCCCTTACAATCCTCGGCTACGCTCCCACAAAGACATATTAGCAGAGGCTGCACAGAATCTGACCATCAAACCTAGTATATTTGGTGATACACGGCTAAGACCTATATTTCTATCGTCCAAAAATACCGCAAGTAATTCCTCGTCCCATATCATATCCCAGGCCTCAGACCTCCAAACACTCCCTGGTCCCTGTTTTGAACATCCTGTTTGAGCATGGCTTGTTGCATCTTATACAATGGCGTTCCGTCCATTTCGAAATGACTCACAACGCAGGAAAAAGAACATATCCCTTTCACCGTTCCGCCCATCCAGATAGTCCCCATAAACGCCGTAATAAACCCCTTATGCCTCGGCCGCCCCGTGCCGACAAATCACCAGCCTGCGCATGGAAAAATAGAATAACATAAACGCCAAGGGCAGCGTCATATCGCCCTTCTGATGCGAGTGCAAGTACCATATCAAATGCCAATTATATATGCATTTTGTGTTGTTTTCATTTTCGTGTCCGGATTGTCCTTTGTTTTGTATTTTTTCTCTTTGTGTTTTTCATTTAGAACAATGGGGTGGTTAGCCCTCCTCTTCAATTATCGCTCGGACTTCTCCTTCATTGAGGAGAAGACGTCTTCCAAGTTCTTCAGGAGGATGTCCATCTCGAACAGCGCCGAAGTCAAGAATCTGTGTCAAAATTTGTTAGCCATAGTACACACACGTGCATGTTGATGAACGTACCTCTACATAAGTCAAGTTATCCCTCTGTACAGCTGCAACACATCGGCGTCCATCAAATTTGACTTGCCAAACCCCACTGAGGTCAGTCAACAAGTCTTGAACACACTCTCCGGTCCTAACGTCCCACATCTTGACCGTCTTCTCACTGCCGCTAATGACTTTGCGACCATCATGCTGGAAACATGTAATGGCGCCAGTATGGGCCATGAGCGTATTCCGGCACTTTCCTGTTTCAGGGTCCCAGATACGCAGGGTGGAATCAGCCGCAGCTGATACAAGTCTGTCGTCACGGAGATCCAAAAGACCAACAAGCAAGCTGTGGCCCTCAAGGGTGTAAAGGCATGCGCCCGTGGTGAGATCCCAAATCTTCACTAAAGAATCCATAGAACCTGAGATGCAACGATTCCTCTCATGATCAAGAACCACCGAGTAAACCTTTTGGGTATGTCCATGTAGCACATGTAGGGCATCACCAGTGCTGATTCGCCAAACTCGAACGGTGCTGTCGTATGAACCACTCACAAGCATGTCACCATGGGCCGAGATGGCACGAACAGAGTGGGAATGACCAGTCAAGACACGGATAAAGTACGGGCAATCAGACTCCTGAGCCGGTGGCCCCGTCTGAATATAGCGCCGCGATCCCACCTCGGGAAGACGCCAGACACGAAGTTGGCTATCTCGGGAGCCTGTAATGATGAGTGGTTTCTCGGGCTGCATAATGGGGGTGCCATCTGAGCTTCGTCCAGTTTGCGTGGGCATCAAAATCTGTAGACAGCGAACAGTGCTGGTGTGTCCGTAAAACACCTGCTGACATAATCCACGTTCAATGTCCCAGACTCGGACGGATCTGTCGGTTGAGCCAGACACCAAGATGTTGCCCTCGTACTGAAGAGCCCAAACACCACCTTCGTGACCTTCGAGTCTCTTGCGTAGCTTGCCGGTCTTAGTATCGTAGATGTGAATCAGGGTATCATCGCTGCCAGTGATAATTTTGTCGTCGTCAAATTGCAAGCAGGTGATGACATGGCGAGGATGAGCAGCGAAAGCTACGTGGCTTGGCTTCACCTCTCCACTTGTCCAACTCTGCCGGATCATGTGGTGACGCCTGTATAAAGATTTGTAGAGGTGCAACTGGCGAAGGCTTGCCAACCCCAACTGCGGGTCGGGTACAGCCGCGACAGCAGCATTGGCAGCCGACAGCGGCCCCGCCGACTTGTGCTGCTTCATCTCATTCTTGTCATCTCTGGATATGGTAACTTCCTGAGTGCCCGCTCGGCGCTTTGACCTTTCTGAAGCTACATAGCTGTTCATGTGACGCTTGCGCTTTGAAGTTCTTGTCTTGGTGACAATATCGTGCTTGATTGCTTGAGTGAGCTCTTGCTCCGAAGAAGTCAACCTACTCCGCATGCTCAGATCCTGCTCATAACCAGTAACGCCAACCGGATCCTGCCAGCCCCACCCCTGAACAATAGCCTTTTGAAGCTCGCCAGCCGGGAGTGTGTATCCATCACGATCAAACAACTCTTTCCAGCCCGTCTCATTGCGATCAACAATATTGCGCCAATGTTTGGAGACTTGGGCACAGCGAGCGAGGTCTCGGTGGCCGAGATACGATAAGATGTGGTAACTGAGTTCGAGAGGTAGCTGCTGCAAAAAGTCGCATTTGAGAGCCGGATTGACGGTGTTGGCGACAACGCGAAGGGTCGGCCTAGGGCATCGACGAAGGAACTGATACATCATAAAGGTTTTCATCTCTGTTTTCATTGAATCAAACACGTCGAGCAATGTCTGAGTGTCGACAACGACGGGTTTTCGATCATCAGTCAAGTCGGATCGACGCGCGAGTGCCGTGCTAACCTCTTCGGTCATTATGTCCTCCATGACTTGGGAGTCTTCCATCCAAGCGGATGATGGATCCGTCGTGGACGTCTGGAAGCTAGACTGTGCTGCTTGGTCATGGTCGGCAGAGTGCAGTTGAGCGGCAGCCAAGGTAGGGGATAATCTCGGACTAGGAAGACTTGCATCCTGGGCAGCAACGACATCAATAGTAGGCCGATGATGGAGCGCGCGGATGGAGTTTTGCAGAGACTCGTCAGCATCAGCAAATGGCTCGGGGTCAGCATCCGTGACGGGGGTGTGGCAACGGTGCTGCTGAAAACGGTATGGGTGTCACTTCCTGCAGGGCTGGCTGCATCGTAGGGCGGAGATTTGGACCGGCCAGAGGCCGCATCTGGGGAGCTCTGTAAACGGTCGAGATGCAAAGAACGTCGTTGTGATGGTCGTTCTGCCACATCAGTCATTTCGGTGGTGTCAGGGGTAGCGAGGAAGCCACTCGAAACTGCTCTCGCTGGTCTTTCGTTTAAATCATGACGAAGGCTGTTGCTGCTACTGCCACTGCCACTGCCGTTTCCTTGTATTACAGAGCGACGGAGTTTATCTGATATCGTATGCAAAGTAGATGAGCGAGCTCGCGATGATCTGGCAATGGTGGGCGAATCCGCGAGTGAGGATCGGAGTTGTGCTTTTCGAGAGTAGGATTCGCTGGGTGATTGCGAGGACACACGGCTATACCGACTCGGCGTCGTTGCGTCATTTGATACGGTCTCTTGTGTAAGGACAGGCTTTGCGCTGGAACTTCGCTTGGTCTGGACAGATTTTTTCTTTCCGTCAGCAACAGGCCTTATATCATCAAGGGGCCCAAGTGGACATCGGACCAGTTTCGGGTCGTGGAAATCACTCACCAGCTTGACGTCAGAATCCTCATCCACATCCACATCCACATCCTCGTAGGACTCTTGGGTCTCCTCCTCATCGGCCGTCATTTTGTAGGAAAACTGCATTAATTCTGGCGGCGGAGGCTTCATGGCCAGAGGGTACTCCTTGGCGTCAAGGCTCTCGAGTGGGGCGGGGTCACGGATGAAGACTTGGGGAAACTTCCTCGTCAGACGAGTGGTGGTGGTGATGGTCTTGGTCTCGACACACTCGCTGACCTCGAGCTGAAACCTCCGGGCTCCATTTTGTGAGGAGCTCTCGGCAATATTGACTGATACTGTTTGTTTTTGAGCGCTCCTGGGTCGTCGTGTCTGCTCGATGCCCTGTTGGGTGGCAGGCGAGGGCGAGGGCGTCATGGCGTTGACGAAGAACGCCCCGGCGGACGAAAAAAAGACGCTGGACAAGACGGGCTATATGGACTCCGTTTTTTCTATTCGACTCTTGATTGCACAAGGAAAGGCGAGATGTGTTTTTTGGAGGGAGAAACGGGTGATGATAGACGGAACGGCGTAGGTGGGAAAGAAAATTCGGGTTTTGATTGTTTCGGCAGAGGGCTTTGCAGAACACGGGCTACGTGCGCGTGAGTAGGCGTGTGCCTTGGGCTTGTTTGGGTTGCACGACCGAGGGAACACAAGGCGGACACAAGAAGAGCAACAACAACAAAAAAACGTGCCAAAGAAGTGAGGAAGAAGAAGAAAAGACAAACAGGCTCAACAAATTCAGAATTCAGATGAATCGGACAAGGAAGCTTAGTCTGCGTGCAGTGGTGGTGGGCGGAGT